GCTGACTGGGTTTGGATGGCACCTCTGAGATGAGGTGCAACCTGGGGATTTGGGATGCATGTGGCAAGGCAGCCAGCCTGAGTATAGTGCCTGAGACCTTCTCGGGACTGAGTGGGTTCCTGTCCTCCTGGGCAAAGGGTCCAGTTCTTGCTGCGAGAGCCTTCAGCTACGTGCAGCTTTTCCTGCTCCTGGCAGTTAAGGATCTTGACTTCCCTTGCCCGACTCATCTGGTTCTCGGCCAGGAAAAAATGGCATTGGTGTAGCAGTTCAAAACATTGATACCAGCGAGGTTAAGAAGTGGAATTATTCTGTCATAAAAATTGCATAGATGGTGAAGACTACTTGACAGACAAAAACTGCTTGGCCAGTGAGCAATGTTAGACATATTTAGAAATACACCTTTTTTTTTTTTTTTGCAAACGATGAAGTAGCTCAAAGGACAGGATTGTCTCATATACCATCCTCTGTGTGATAGCTGTGGGTAGTGGGGCTGAGCTACAGACATGATGTTGACTACTGTCCTGGTTTTGGCTGGGATAGAGTTAATTTTCTTCCTAGTAGCGGACATAGTGCTGTGTTTTGCATTTCGTAGGAGAATAATGTTGATAACACACTGATGTTTCAGTTGTTGCTAAGTACTGCTTATGCTAGCCAAGGACTTTTCAGCTTCCCATGCTCTGCCAGGTACACAAGAAACTGGGAGGGGACACAGCCAGAATAGTTGATCCAAACTGACCAAAGGGCTATTCCATACCATATGACGTCATGCTCAGTATATAAACTGGGGGGGGTTGGCTGTGGGGGAACAATCACTGCTCGGGAACTGTCTGGGTATCGGTCGGCGGGTGGTGAGCAATTGCATTGTGCATCACTTGCTTTGTATACAACTGTATACAAACTGTAAAGTAAAATTGACAGTTGCATTACATCCAGATGTATGTGCTGCTTTTCACACTCACTAGACCATGGGGAGGGGCAGAGCATAGGACCCAGTCCTCACTAACTAATTAGTCCATCTCATGCCAATATTCCCTGAAGAAAGCTTCTTACTTCAGTAGAGGTACAAAGATGTCCCAAAACAGTATCCTCTGGCATCCTAAAATCCAGAAGTGACAGTGTCATCCAGGAGATCGGGGTGACATCCCAGCATGATGTGTTCTGGGATATACTCAGGGACCAGGGAAGGGCCATCAGCAATGTT